TTAGTGCGTGCGACGGCATTCTCTTGAATTCTGAGTGTAAATCTCTGCCAAAGACTTGCATGCTATCTGGGTGCAATGCAATGCAAAGTCATACAGCCTTGTTTCTCACAATGCTCTTGGCGACTCAAACGGCATACTGGCCTGTGGCTCCCTTAGATCCTGCAATGTTGTATAGAAACCGACCTGTTTCTTTGTTCGTCTCCTCCTGCCCGACACACAGGGAGAGCATTACAAGCAATAAAAGATGCCTGGCAAGGGTATGACGGGGATGGCACGTGGAGGCAAGACACAAGATGTGACATCATGACAAACATCGCTTGCAACAAAGATTACCAGATCGTCAGGCTGTAAGGGCAACTGTAGTGCTGGCAACTTCATTGCAAAACGAAAAGGGAGTGTTGGTTGTTGTTTTTTCTGTCTGATGGATGAAGCAAGGCTGGATGGTCACACGCATCTTGCATGTGAATATCCACACAGCAGAAAGAACAGCACTGAGTCAACAATTACCACAAATCTGTTCCCTTCAGCTTCGCACACCTCGACTAGCCGACGTGGACACAAGTCAGGAAAACACTGGGATGAAGTAAACTCAATCTCGAGGTAGTGACATTTCGAGTTTGAGACTGACTCAAGACTGAGACACGTAAATCTTTTTTCAGATAGTAAAACCTGCACACAAGGTAGGTTTACTGAAATCAGCATGGGTCGAATTGAATCAGGCGTTGCATCAGGGCCTTTTTTCTTGAGTCGAGTCTGAGTAGTGGCAAGCCGATTAATTCACTCAATAGCCCATGTCTATCCTTTGGTATTCTGACATGCCACTGCCCCTTCACGCCACTGCCCTGCCCTTACTTGCCACTGCCCCTACTTCCCAATGGCCCTTTTGCCCCTCCATGCTGACACCGTTTTGCACAGTCAAGTGAAAGACGCTGCAGTTTCAGGAAGCATACCAACACTTCTTGGGAATCTCATCCAACTGACACAACTGTGAGGCCACAATTCTCAGCACCATTCCACCTGCCAACACCAATCTATGCACTGTAGCCGCATACACTGTCTATTCTAGCAAAATATACGTTAATGGTCAAATCCTTTTAATTACCTCCCATCTACCAGCACCACTCTTTGTATGCAGCACCACATCCATCTGACTGACGGTAAAAAACTCCTCCAGTCAAGCCCTTGACCTTGTTGTTATTCCCTTATGCCAACCTTGACTAAATGTTGTAGGGACCTTTCCAACAACCGACTCAGTGGCAACTTTCCATCGACTATCGCACAGCTTACCAACTTGGTCAATCTGTGAGGGAAAGTTATCCATGGTGGCCTCTTGAAAGCGGCAGTATACATTTGACAGGTTTCGGTTTGGCAAACCCATTTGTCAACAGAATTCAATTTAGCATACACTTATCACCAACTGAACTTTGGCAGGACAAGAGCTGGATGCTTTTTTCATGCCCATTCAGTTTCATCCTTATGCTATTTTGTGCACTCGTCACAGGAGTTTGCAGAGTAATCTGTTCAAAGGCGAACTGCCTGTAGCTGTTTCCGGGTTGACTTTACTGAAAAAGTTGTGAGTGCTGTGGCTTGCTTGCTGATTTGCCCTTTCTATTGTGTGAGCGCTGTTTCCATTAATTGTTTTCTGGAAGGCGCATTTGCTTGCTTCAAGAGACTGAGAGTGAGTTTGTAAGGGAAGAAGGTGTTATACTTTGTATGAAGTGGGTTGGAGAGGGGAGCACAGATGAGCGGGCGTGGTATGTACGGGAAGAATATTCGGAGAAAAATCTGCAAGATGGCAATCAAACCACTGTGGAATGTGGGTCGCTCCATGTTGTTCCAAATGTGCGTTGGCGTAGATGCTATGGAATTCGTCCACGAGTAGGATTCAGTAGCCACGAAAGATTACAAACTGTTTGCTAGTAGTTTTTTTTTTCTTGTTTTTTTGTCATCACATGTGCATCATCTGCTGCTGTTACAGGGACATTGGTGCAAATGCGTTCACTGGTCAGATCCCACAATGGATTTGTGACATGACGGGTCTGACCTGCCTGTGAGTGCGCTTCTTCCATTGTCTGAGGGAGGCTGTGACTGCTGAACACACCATCCCTTCTTCCTACTCCTGGCGTTGCTGAGGGAGGTTATTACTTTTGCATCGTTCTTTTAGCCCTCATCCGCAAGTGTACTGCATCAACCCGGAGTATGCTACTTACTTATCACTGATTAGAAAATCATGCGTCCATCATAAAATATTTCTCCACTCCTATATACTCGCGCCTGGTATAGCTCTAAAAGGTGCTTCGCAATGCGCCTGGTGATGTATTCAGCACCTTGTCCAGGCTCTTTTTGTTTGCCTTGTCTCTGAATGACAGAATGCTGGGGGAAAACAGCTTCGACGGGCCCATTCCTGAGTGCATGTCAAGTTTAACAAATCTTATTACTTTGTAAGTCCACTCTAGGCCAGATAACATACCATGGACACTTAGCATTCTGAGCTTTTAGTCAGTCCACCTTAATGCTGCTGTGGCTGCACCTTCACGGTGTGGCCGCCGCACAACATTGCCTGCGGTCAAGGAGTTCAAAGGCAATTATTACAGCGCTCTCAGATTTTCATGATCATCATTTACAGTCTTAGAAATGATCTGATTATGTAGTAAAGAAAATAAATCGTTAATTTGTATGAAAGAATATGAGAGGTTTGGATACAAGCAGGTCGGAGAATTGGTAGAAGATTGTTTTGTAGTTTAGCAAGTCCCTCAAACAGCACATAACCCCCATGTCCCTGTGACCAATCTGCAGGACCCTGCAGCGCAATCACTTCTCTGGAGAGGTGCCCTCGTATCTGGGGTCTTTCAAAAACCTTACAAATCTGTGAGTCCGACGTCCATCCATTGTGCAGTCATGTGATTTATTGTTCAGCATGTCTCATTACTTCAATAACATTTTTTTATTGTTGAGCAGTTCCTTCAAAACCGATTTCATCCTGCAATCTGGGGCAAACTAATGCATTCGCATCCGCATGGTAGAGGGTACCATATAGCACAGATTCGCATTCTTATGTATAGCAATACCGGTAGAAGCATTCATACCAACAAACGCATTTATACCAATGAACGCATGCACACCAATCTAAGTACGCATACCAAATATGACATGTATACCATTGAACACATGTATACTAGTGAACACATGTGTAGTAATGAACGCGTGTACACCAATGAACGCACATGTATACCAATGTACACATGAATATCAACGAACACATGTGTACCAATGTATGTATACCAATGAACGTGTGCACACCAGTACAGGCATGAGAAATGATCAAACTCGAACGTTTTCCTGTCAAACATTTTCGAACACCCCTCCAAAACTTCCGGACATGTTCGGTTCGAGTCTAACACTTTTTCCAAATAGCGGTGCTCGATGTTTGTCTATGGAGGCGAACTGTTCGGCCAAAACACTAATGTGTTCGATTCGAGCCCCGACCTGGACACGACGAACACTCGTACATGTTTGATATTCGACGTGCCTCGGCAACAGCAATTGAATACTCGAACATGTTCGGCCCGAACATTTTGTGGCCCGGAAAAAAAAATGGTCGGTTATGTTTTGGCCCTACATAAAATAATAATGATAAATAACTGGTCGGTTTGACTCGAACATGTTCGAGTCAAGTCGAACAGGGGTTCGCCCATTTTCTAATGCCTACACCAGTACACATCAAGATACGCATACCAATAAACACATGTATGCTGATGTAACACATGGATTTTAACGAACGTATGTATACCCCGCATGCGTACCGGATGAAGCATGCATATCAGCAGCGAACACATGCATGCCAACAAACACATGCATGCCAACAAACACATGCATGCCAACAAACACATGCATGCCAACAAACACATGCATGCCAACAAACACATGCATGCCAACAAACACATGCATACCAACAAACACATGACACCAATGAACGCATGTACACCAATTAATGATACATTCCAATAAATGTATATATCTCAACGACCGCATGCATGGTAATTTTTACATGCATGCTGCTGAATGCATGGCTTTGTGTATGAATGGCAAAGCAGGGATCTAGGCGACAACCGTTTCTGGGGAAGCATACCATCTTCATTATTGCTACTGAAGTCTCTCAAATATTTGTAAGCATCAGAATTCCAAGGGCCCGTTTCACTACTCTCAGAGAGCCTTCTGTTAGCCAGAGCCAAGAGAGTCATGCTTTTGAACAGAGCGAATAATGACCATCTTAAGATCGGTCAGGTTAATATTGCATGTAAATTAGTGATATGAATTTCCAGCCTAATGGTTCAATATATAGATTTGTCTTGTTGTAAATCCGCCTTCTTATCTTGCGATACCTCACACCCACAGATCATTACATAACAATATGCTTAGTGGAGCCCTGGTGGTGCCGCCACCGACCGTCACTCTCACTACGTACAACAACTACCTTTCCGTTTCTTCCTTCAAGCCCACGTCTTGCAACAAGGGTCTTTTTGAAGGCAACTGCTTCACTTTCAACAACTCATCCGAATGCTCCAAAATCCTTCAACGACCGATGAGCGAATGCACTCCATTCTGCGGGATTTCCAGCACTAGCCCTCCCTGTGGAGGGTTTGGCACGTGCATTCTTGAAGATAATTCTGAAAAGCCTGTTTGTGACTGTGAGAAGGGGTACGTCCAAGGAGAATCTCTAGCCACCTGCATCCCTCAAGGTAAACAATGTCGCCATTGTTTCCTGTTCCCACAACCACAGCAGTCCACGCCAATGCAGAGTTCTAAAGCAAATGAATTTTGCAAATGCCTCATAAGTCAAATGATTCCATTATGTGTCGGACAAATGGCACATGACCCAGATTAACTGACAATCCCAGCTCTGTGAGAATGTCTTGACTCGTGTTTATCGCATGCTTTTGCGACTTCACAATCAGCTCAACCTGCCACGTTTCCTGCGTTTTCTCTGAGACTTTGCAGCAATGGGCTACCCCCGATCCACCAGTTTGATTCCAACCATGGTCACCCTCACCGAGCTCACAGCACCATCCTCCGGATCCTTCTTCTCCAAGACGCGCCTCCAGCTCTTCTCGTTTGAGACCATCCGAGACGGCTGTGGCCGCCAGTTCTTCTTCAAGGCCAACTTCTCCTTCATCATGATTCTGAGGACTCGTGGCAGCGGGGGCAACGGGCTCGCGTTTGTCGTATCCGCGACAAACCGGACTGCCCGCATTATTGGCAGCGGCGTGGGGAATGCCGGCATGGACAATTGAAGCGTGGCAGTGGAGTTTGACACGTGGCAGGACAAGGAGCACAAGGACACGAGCGCAAGTCACGTGGGAGTCGACCTGAATGGCAGCTCCTTGTCGAAAAAGAAGGCCAAAATCTCGACTTCGCTGAACAACGGAAAGATGTACTTTGCATGGGTGGAGTACATTCCTGAGGACGAGGGAGAGAGCTTGAAGGTGTATCTCGCGGATTCATTCAGTGCTCGCCCGGTCAACCCTGTGATGTCCATGAACCTCTCTCTCTGTGAAGTGCTCAAGCCCACGAACACGTCCAACTCGTTCTACTTTGGCTTTGTGGCCGCGTCACGCCTTCACGCGCAGAAGCATATTGTGGCCATGGCATCCGTTAAAACAGGCAAGCCTGCCGCCGCTAGGAAGGCTTATCTTCACTGTTTATACATGCCTTGTGTTTCCTGGCAGGATACGCATTGCCTCCACCGCTTCCAGTTAAGAGAAGTACGTTGTTATACAGCTGTTGTTCCTTAGCTCCTTGATAGAGCCTCTCGTAGTTATTGCATCTGTGAGTCAATTGATAGGAATGAATCCACTTACACTTGCACGCATGTGAACACTCTGATGGGTGAATCAAGAGCCGTCACAACGTTCCTTGCAGTCGGCAGCAGTAAGTGCAACACCCAATTCACAGAAGTAAGCATGCTGAAAGCAAGACGTAACATATCGAGAGTGATGGTACCTTCGTTCTGCATTCTTCAATCCCCACTCCCACGCTCCTTGTTGATACTCTCTGCATGCAGGCACGGGCCTGCTCGTGGACGTAGACACGTTCAAGCCGCAAACGACGAGCCCGTTCACGCGCTATGTGAGCGTGGGCCACAGCACCGCACAGGACGAACAGGACTCGTGGCGAATACCCACTTACTCCACCTGGACCATTGACTCGAACTGGCTGCCCAAGGACCAAGGCGCATGTGGTGAGCCGGGATGACGTTTGAATCGACTCATAAGGCTTATGCACTGAGCGGGCCGTTGCCTTGTGGCTGCTGTGCTATCCATGAATAGACCATGCATATGGCAGGCTGTGAGTGTGCAGCATCAGCACCTTCCTGCCAATGCACATCCAGCATCCGCTCCTCCCTGCCAATGCGTTTCACTCCTCCTGCTGCCCTTCGAACTTCGTAGATTGTGGCGTCTTCCAACTTTACCTCTGCACATTTGCCTCTCTAGGCTCTGATTCTGTCCCCAGCCTGCAAGCCTCGTGCTGGTAAGTTTCCTTTCTCTCGGCTCTTCTCTGCATCACTCTCCCTCTCCACACATGCAGAAACCTGCTGGGCGTATGCGGTGGTGGCGAGCATAGAAGCAACGTATGGCATCGCGAGGAACACCACCAAGTCGTTCCCATCGCTCTCTATTGACTCCCTCTTCCAAATCCTGGGGCTGGATAACTGCAGCAGCAGCTCTCCCACCTTTGCCTTTCAAAATCTCGTTGTCAAGGCCACTCCGAACAAGGACGGCCTCACTGCAGAGCCAACCCAGCCTGCCACCACCACTTCACGTGTCATTGCCCGTTCCTCCTCCCTTTTCTCCTTCTTTTCCTCCTCCTCCTCCTCCTCCTCCTCCTCCTCCTCCTCGTCCTCCTCCTACTCCTCCTCCTCATCCTCCTCTTCCTCACCATCCTCTCCCTCCTCCTTCCTTTCCACACTCTACTCATATTTCTTCCTGGCCTCACCTCCAGCAACGCATCACCCTTCTTCTCTTAAGACTACTTCTCTCATCGCGTCGACACCACCAATACCACCGGTATGCACACTGTTTCCCTTTAACCTCTATCTGCTCAGTGCCGAGTGGCTCCAACCCTGGCGCCTTTTTAGAAGGCCATTGGGAGAAGAAAGAGCATAAAGAATCAAAACCCTGGCATCTCTTTTTGCGGCCATTAAGAGAAGAAAGAACAAAAGAAATGGCTCAATCTTCTGAAGTGATGCCATGACTGTTCCATCTGAGGGTGAACTAGCCAACCTACGGACTCATAAGAACTGCCACCAAATCCTGCCTTGTGTGTGTACCTGTGCATGTGAATGTGCTTGTGCATGTACCTGTGCATGTGAATGTGCTTGTGCATGTAGCTGTGCATGTGAATGTGATTGTGTATGTACATGTGCATGTGAATGTGTGTCTGCATGTGCATGTGCATTTTCATGTGAATTTTTTATGTGCCTTGGCATGTGAACGTGAACGTGCATATGCATGTTCATGTGGCATGTGCCTGCAGGAGAAATTTCTGGTGCATGGGTTTGAGAGGACACCATTCAAGGGGTACTTTGGGCTCATGCTGGCAGTGGGGCGCCAGCCCATTGTGATCCACATTGAGGCCACCTCTGCTTCCTTCACCACCTACGATGGGGTATGCATCAAGTGAATTTTTTCTAATCACCTATGATGAAGTGAACTCATTTTTATCAACTACTCACCTACGATGGGGCATGCTTTATTTTATAGAAGATATACGGATGAAGGCCCACAAATCTGTCACTTTATACAGTGGTCCATTTGAGGCCCACCCACAGTATTATATAGCGTGCCATAAATACTCGCTACCACGCGTCTTAACGATCGTATTATTCCGCAATCACGGGCCTTATTGAATTCACATTGAGTGGTTGAGTGGGTTATTATCCCCGTCCCATGTTCTGTGTTCTGCCTTGTGCCTTGTGGTCTTTTCTGGGTGCTTTTCAGCTTGTCCCTCCCCGTGCCCTCTCTGCCCTCCGTGCCCTCTCTGCCCTCCGTGCCTTCTCTGCCCTCCGTGCCTTCTCTGCCCTCCGTGCCTTCTCTGCCCTCCGTGCTCTCCGTGCCCTCTGCTGTCCTCCGTGCACTCTCTGCCCTGCGTGCCCTCTCTGCTGGTGCATGCAGACATTCAACTACCAGGATAGTAGTTGCTACACGGGCAACCTCAACCATGTTGTACTCGTTACAGGCTACCTCATAGCCGGCACTGACAACACCCGCCCGACCATCCCTGCACCCTTCTGGAAGATCCGCAACTCGTGGGGCACACGGTGGGGGGCGGAGGGGTACATGTACTTGGGGATAGCGCCGGGGGATGGCATCTGCGGCATCAATGTGCTGCCTGGCATCTACCCTGTCATCCGAAGTGAGTCGTGGATACTTTGAGGAGTGGCTTCTTGGATTACACAGCCTCAGTGCTCTGGTCAAGTTTAAGTCGCGCCTTGGCATGGCATACAATCTTGTCACTCAGTCAAACAGCCTAACATCTCGGTTCTGCAGCACCTTGTCATCATGGGTAGTGGTACCTGCTGGTCCTTCTCATTTTGCATTGATGCGCCAATGCATGAGAGTGGCACCTGCTGCCTGCTGCTGGTGTCTTCTCACTCAGTGGCCACTCCCTCCTCTCACCCGTCCCGACCCTTGGATCAGTTACCAATGACCCTTGCATGGCCAAGGCGTACAAGCTCAAGAATGATAAAGCCTCCGTCATGAACCCCTGTGGCTCCTTCGATTGTACAAAGCGAATTGGCGAACCTTCCAACAGTTGTTCCTGCAAGCCTCCCTTCATTGAGGCTGTCAACCAAGACGGCTCTCAGTCCTGTGCCTATGGTGGGTGCCTCTCGCTCCTGTGCCTATGGTGGGCTGTGATGTGGGAATCAAGTTTACAGCATGCTGACAGTTAAGTTAACAGCATGACTAGTTAGAGTTCTTGGTTTAACAGTCGGTAAAACATTCGGACGGAAGTAGGGCTATGGCTTGTACATTCAGTGACATTAGATATGGGCTGCACATTGTCAGATTTCCACCCCAGAGTTTGCAAACATAGATTTACCTGGATTTTCACGCAGTGGGCTCTCTTCGGTTTGGTGCAACACATGTGATATTGGATCTCGGTCTTTGTTTCTGCTACTGACTGCCTACCGGTCTTTTCGCCCCGCCCCTCATGTGTCACAGTGGATGTGTGCAGTGGCAGCACACGGAACCCATGTGAGGTGGGGTCGTGTATCAACGACGGCAAGGGCTCGTACACCTGTGTGTGCCCGCCCACACACTCACTCGACTCCACCGTTGATGGCTTCCCCACCTGCTCCAAAGGTAGTTTTATTCAATTCTGTGTCATTTCTAAAGGGTTATGGCGAATCAGATGTAACACAGCTTCAGCAATAGAAATATGATGTGTTCTTTCCTTCCTGCCATCCACACTTTCTGCCCTCGCTCCCTGCCTTCCGCCCTCCCTTCTTTCCGTGGGCAGAGTGGGATGTTGCCTCCACACTGGTGGTGAATGGCAGGAACTGGTGGTGTGGCGATGTGCACTCCCTCTTTGGACTCACAATTGAGGATTTTATGAAAAATAACGAGGTGCAGCTTCACCTGCCTATTTCTGTATCCACCCTCACTTGCCACAATGCCTTGCTTTCTGTGGTCTGCTCTGGCTCAAATTCTTGGCTGCTTCTCACTTCACCAATTCCCACCTGCTGTTTCAGGCATATCAAGCTTTCATTTGTGCTTACATCTGGGATGGAAGCAAAACACTACCAGCACTATTGATACGACTGATCACCTTTCACAAGTTGCGGTTTGTTAATGATTTGATCTGGAGAGTGTGCTTGGCTGCTGTATCGATTGCAGGATGTTAACTGCTCGAAGCCTCTTGAGGAGAAAACGTTGCTCAACATGAGGAAACGAGGCGTGACTGCATGCTCTGCTTTCTACTACACTCTACCAGTGAGTGCTGCTGCTTCACTCATCTACTCCATGCTGCTCCTTCACTCATCTACTCCATGCTGCTGCTTCACTCATCTACTCCATGCTGCTGCTTCACTCATCTACTCCATGCTGCTGATTCAATCATCTACTCCATGCTGCTGCTTCACTCATCTACTCCATGCTGCTGCTTCACTCATCTACTCCATGCTGCTGCTTCACTCATCTACTCCATGCTGCTGCTTCACTCATCTACTCCATGCTGCTGCTTCACTCATCTACTCCATGCTGCTGCTTCACTCATCTACTCCATGCTGCTGCTTCACTCATCTACTGCATGCTGCTGCTTCACTCATCTACTCCACTGTTGCTTGACCAGTGACTGCTCTGCTGCTCTTGACCCTTCCCTATCTATCAGGGGGACACCTGCCTCTCTGTCGAAAAATTCCTTCACTTAAAGGAAGGCGCACTGGAGGCGCTTAACCCAAGCATCAGCTGCTCCTCTTCGCCTCTCAACTCCTCCCGCTCCCTTTGCATCGAGCAAGACGTTACAACGTCACGCTCTGTACCCAGTTGTCTCAAGGCTGCGTCTATACAAGACAAGCAGGGCTGCACGGATTTGGTGAATGATCCTTCGAATAAAATCTCCATGGTGGAGCTCTACCGAATGAACCCGGGGCTTGTTTGCAACGCTCCTGTCAAGATTCTGAGTGACGGTGCGAGTGGAAGCGTGAAAGTGCCGGTGAGAAAATGGGTGGATGGGGTGCATTATGTTTGCAGAGAATGGTGCTGATGCTGATATGGCCGGTGTCTGGTATGGTGGGTGGGGCTGTGGTGGTGTAAGTTGCCGCAAAATCTAGTGCCCATATCTCTTTACTTATCATGCTCTTTCTCCCTTTGACCGTGGCTGCAGGTTTGTGTAAGAGCTGAATATTTGAGATTTTCAGCTGGTCAATGCGGCGATGGCTCAAAAGTCAAGCATTTCGCTGCCCGCACCTTGTGCGGCGCTGTCTATGCCCAAGCATTTGGTGGCAGTCAGACAACATTCGAGAAATATAACAAGAATCAATGTTCAGATAACATAGGTGGGAGGCGAGGAGAACAGGTATCTTTATGTGTGCCTAATGTGCCTAAATAGATAGCTGGTTCGCTGTGTTACTGTATTTCCCCTTAAGAACACCCTCAAGTGTTTAATGGTATAATGGTGGCTGCATAGGAACAATTGCAGATAGCACTCGGGCCAAATTATATGTCATACGGTTCTCCTGTTTTGTTTTCACAGCCATGTACAGTCAGCGTACATGTTACGGGTGCAATGTATTGAGGTAATGAGGATTGCATTAAGTTGATAAACGAGTACAAATGTGAGCAGTTGCATGAGTGAACATTTATAGCGAAAATAAGCAAACGGTTACGCGGTGCATGCGAGCTAGCTAGTGCAATGCTGGCAGCGATGTTATCGCTAGCCTCGAAGCTTAGGCCGACTCGGGCCAGGCTAGCGTTGCATGGTTTGACATTTGTGGTGCGCGAAGACAGCGAACACGTTAGCAGTGACGGGCGAAGAAACGGGTGGTCCTATACGCGATGTTGAGGTTAGCGGAAACAAATGCATATATTTTCCTTACACTACCCCCTTTCCCATACGCTACGCGAGTGCTCGTATACAGTATCACGGAATCCATTGCTTCGCTGGTACACTTGGAGGACTGGGTGGTTTTCAATGTTGGACAGGGGCACCAAAATGTCTTCTATGGGGGTGCGGTGCTTCCAGCGAACAACGAATTCAATCCTCCGAACTCCTGTGGGGTGACGGATCCGATGACTCAGGATTTCCTCGGGGTCGGCGATTGTTTCCGATGCAGGGCGTCATCGATGGTGGGCGATGGCGTGACAGTTGGCTCGTGGTTGGGATGTGCGGGCTAGGGAACATGCAAACTGACTTGAAAGGTGGCAAAAGGGGGTATGCCACCAAGAGACTACACTACTAGCTATTGCATGCAATTATATAATAATATTATATTCTAACATCACCCCTAAATTGCATGAAGTCTAGTTGGTGTAGGGGCGCTCAGCCCTAAGCGCATCAATCGTCGTGCAGCAGCTAGGCCCTTCGGTAGGATACCCGCCTGCGGTTTAGCCCCCCCAGTGAATGCCTGGTGAGCGCGACGAGGGGAACGAGAAACGACACGATACGAGAAAACAGAGTAGAAGAATCTCTCTCTCTCTCTCTCTCTCTCTCTCTCTCTCTCTCTCTCTCTCTCTCTCTCTCTCTCTCTTTCTCTCCTCCCCCCTTAACCTCTCTCCTCCCCCCCCACAGCACCAAGTGCTGCAAGGAGAGAGGAAGAGGGAGGGGAGGGACGGGCTGCAGGCTGCTCACACCCGCCACCCCCACATCTCCCCCCCCCACACGTCGGGAGCCGCGGAAGGGAATTGGGGGCGGCGTACGGAGCTGCTGGCGCTCGCATCCGCGCTGGCGCTCGCGGCTGACGCAGGCGCAGGCTCTGGCGCTCGCGGCTGGCACAGGCTCTGGCGCTGGTCGCTGACGCAGGCGCAGGCGCTGGCCCTAGCGCTGGTCGCGGCTGGCACAGGCTCGCGGCTGACGCAGGCGCAGGCGCTGACCCTAGCGCTGGCGCTGGTCGCTGGCGCTCGCGGCCGGCGCCAGTCGTTGGCGTATTGCGGGGCGACGGGGGGGCGCGGGGCGACGAAACGGCGCGAGCAATGAGGGGGGGCCGCGGACGACGGGAAGGGCAACAAGCGCGACGAGCGGGGGATGCGACGGGCAGAACGGGCAGAGCGCAGGGTAAGGTTGCCCGTAATTAAGGTAGAACGGCGAGTGTTGCGTTGTTGTTATAGGCGAACTCAATTAGCGGAAACTGTTGCTCCCAGGTTGTCGAGTCGTCACACATAGCGCGAATCAGATGCTCCATGGCCCCGGAACAAACTCCCTTAGCCTCTGACAGCTGCTGCGAATGTCCAGTGGTGAAAAATCGGTCGGTGCTGAAGCCGTGGATAAATAGTCCGGTCAGTAGCGGGTTCGTTTCGGCGAGTAGGATGGCATACAGTTGGGCTGTGGGGCGGGAGAGGGCGTCGGAGATAGTTAAAGCGCCTTTTTTTTACAGTACTATGTAGTGGAGATTGGACTCCAGGTGATCCAGTCATCTTGTTCGCGGTCTATGTTTTGTTGAGCACAAATGTACTATAGCGAGCGATGGTCTGTCCGTACTGTCACGTCTGCTCTTGTCATGTAGCACCGTCACACCTTGAATGCGTGCACGATCGCCAGCATCTTGCGGTCGTGTATCGGGTAGTTGCGCTCGGGCGGGTGAAGTTTGAGGAACTCGTACACGATTTTGGCTGAAGGCCATCACCAAAGTCCTGCAAAAGTACGCCTCCGACGGCGATGTCGCGTGCGTCGGTGACGAGCTCAAACGGGCGGTGAGGATTGGCAATGTGCAGAACGGGCAGCGAGCACTATCTTTTTGAGGGCCGATAAAACATCCTGCTTTTTCTCCCCCTTCCAAGAGAAAAGAACAACAAACAGCAAGAACTCCAAATGCTACTCTCTAATTCTAACGAGTTATTTTTTATACATGTACAGTAATTCAAATGTGAAATGCGACTTGGAATGCCGATTCGGGTGGCCAGCCCCGACATCGAACCGCATCTTCATTTCTATTTACATTCTAACTCACCACTATCATACACGTGCCCAAAATCTACTCTTTTGATCCTACATCCTCGCCACTTGTCCCACGCAGAAGTCTTCCCAAGTCACTCAAGGTACCAAACATCAGTTCCGTCCTCGTCACGTGGGTCTCCCCATGTCCTGCCCACATTCACCCTTGCACGCTGCTGCATGTTGCTGCCTCCCGTGCGCTTCACGTTGGCTCCCGCGCAGGTGCCACCTGTTACATTACCTCCCCTCCTTGAGAGCGCCATCCTCGGTGCCAATGAGGCAAGATAGACTCCAATGGCACGAGGAGCATTACTGAGGTTGGAGAAGGGTTCCCATGAGTCTTCAGATGCTGATGTGTTGCACCAGTGAACAAGGTATTCACAGCCAACAGGGGTGTCCGGTGTGAGAGAACAGATTCGACCTCATGCAGGTCCGGATGCGCAGAGAACATGGGTACCCGAGGCTGATATGAGTGAGAGGGAGTAGTGTAAGGACGGAGAAGGCAGATCTGAAAAACAGGGTGTATAGTCATGTGAGGAGGGAGTTGAAGGCGGTAGCTGGCAGATGAAGCTTCCTTCGGGCAAGTTGAAGAAGACGATGATGGGTAGAGATGAAATCTGCTGCTGTTGGGTTAGGGGAATAAAGTAGGTGAGGAAGGGAAGTGACTGAGCGTAAAAACTGTCCAATAGCTAGAAAAAAATGGTGGCTTTCTCATGGCAATGTTGGGGCTACTGTTGTGGCCACATGACACTGCTACCAAGTGCTGATCCCGATCAGTTTGCATGGCATCCACACACGGGTGTAGGGCATCCTCTAGGGTTCTGTTCGTGCGCTCTGTCTGACTGTCAGTTTCAGGATGATAGGCTGTAGAGAGTTGAATTTGTGTGCCCATCAGTTGACACAGTGCTGTCCAAAAGTTGCTAGGGAACCGTGTGTCTCTGTCACTGATTATGGCTGATGGTAGGCCGTGTACTTCCGTCCCCTATCCCCGTTACCCCTCCTCCTGCCCCTCCGCTCACGCGCAAGCAGTCACAAAAGAACACACATAGAGTTTATAACCCTATCGGGGTTTGAATAGACTTTAAGTACCTCCCGGCCTCATAGGACGCCTCAAATGTCCTCCTCTTCCTGCTGTGATTCTCTCTGCGGGGAAAAGCTAGTCTTTTGCGCGTGCCATTCCACTCTTTGTACATCCCTCCCACTCTTGGGAAGGTGGGCACTTCAGCGGCATCAGCACGAGCGGCGCTGATGACGCTACCAAGGCTGTGGTGCGCGTCAATGGTCCTCGCTCATGGTGGAAGAGATCAATTCCCTGAGGACTAAAAAACGCTTAAAGCAACAAAAGGTATCGGTACTGCGAATTCTTCGAGCACGAGCGGAGCTGATGACACTGACGGGGGTGTGTCGTTCCTCAATCCTCACGCTTTGCCTTTGTGCTCTCAATGGAAGAAATGCAGCTTGTTGTCTTTCCCACGTCCCCTTCGTCCCCCACTATATAGAGGTGGTCACAGCAGCGAAATCAGCACGAGCAGAGCTGATGACACTACCCGGGTACCAAGCGGTGGTGGGGGGGTGTCTCATGGCAAAGAACATCGGGTGAGGGCAGCGCCTGGGTGTGGCCTTCAGCCCACGCTCCAACGCCGTCACCGAGCCTCCTACCATGGTGCTGGTGTCGAGAAGAAGCTAGGGTTTGGTGAAAGTCGAGAGGAACTGGAGCATGGCAAGAGGAATGGCCGAAAGAGGATTTTAGAAAAAGAATAAAGAAACAAGATATAGCAAGCGAGAAAAAGAAGTAAAGGGTGCGTCACCAACAGCTATAATATAATCTACACTAGGCAATTCCATAGGCAGCTAGATAAGGAAACATATAAAGGATATCTCTAACACACCCCTATAACTGCCTGTAGAAGAAACCTGTGCAGAACACCCCTTAAGGGGTACACCCAAGGCAGAAAAAGCAGCAGCAGGAGGCAGGTGCAGTAGAAGCATGTGCAGTTGTGGCACATGCAGCTTCTGCAAGCCTTAAGACGCGGTAAACGTAGACGATCGATCTTCTGTCGCAACCAATGTCCGGATTGGTTACCCGGTTTACTAGCTTGTAACCATGCTACAGTAGGGTTTATGTCAAAAACATGTGTACAGTAAAGGAATGCGACCGATCATTGATCGCTGGAGATTAGCCCCACACATAGTGGCGATCTTTACAACGACGTTTGCGCATCGTTATTCCAATCGATCCGCAGAATCAATTGTGCGACTCAATTTTCAAGCACGATCCTGCAATATTCGTACTTCTACCGCGTCCTTAAGCCGCGGCAGATGCAGCAGCGGCGGGTGCAGGCGGCGGCAGGTCGCTTAAGGAGCAGGTGCTGTGGCTGCAACGAGCAGCAAGACAGCACGGTTCAATGGCAGCATCCCCGGGGGCCCAGCAGCAGGCGGGTGCAGTAGGCGCCAGTGGCGGCAGGTGGGGCAGCAGCAGGTGCCACAGTGCCAGCAAGAGCGGAGGATGCTCGGCTGCTACAGGAGGAGGAGAAGGCGTAAACACAGTGGAAGTGAGAGAGAAATAGGAAGAGGAGAAGTAGAGGCAGCTGCTGGCGGCTGTCTGGTCACCCGTGCCACCCCCTCACCCTCCCCCCATCCCCCACACCGCATAGGGGCGACAGGGAGAGAGAGGAGGAGGTGGCTAAGGCGGCGACAGGCGCTGCAGATGTCTTCCCGCTACCCCTTCGCCCTCCCCCTTACAGCGACAAGCGAGGCAGAGAGGCGGCTGGCGGTGCAGCGTCAGTCCCGCCACTTCCCCCTCACAGCCCACTTCCTCCTTTTAGCCGGCCACCCCCACACATGTCGCGAGTATAACACATCGCTACCCACTGGGTCAAAACATGGGTTTTAGTTGGCGCAACGGAATGCCCTTTAACACTAGCCCACAGGCGTTACACCTGCCCCCCCCCTGGTGTCAACGTCCTCGTTGACGAACTTCAGGGAGTCGGCCCCCGCAGGGACCTATTCGCTGTGCACCAAGCAGCGATATCGCTGGTGAGGTCAAGCCAGCGGAAGACCGTTCGCTGGGTTTGCGTCAGGGTCACCACATTCCAGGTCTTGCTTATTGCGGACAATGTAGACTAGCCGCGATTCGAACCCTAGGCTCTGATACCAGTATAACACCTCGCTACCCACTGGGTCAAAACGAGGGCTTCAGTTGGCGCAGCAGAATGCCCTTTTAACACTAGCCCACATGCGTTACAGCGAGCATGACAGCAGGTGCAGGTGCGGCTGGCGTTACCAGCGGCGCGGGTGGAGCAACGGAGGGGAGAAGGAGGGGGGGGGGGGGAGGGGGGGGGGCGGATCGGGGACGTGAAAGGGGTTGCGACGAGCAGTGCAGAGGGGCGTACCAGGGGCGCAACGGGGGGCCACAACAGGGGACGCGGCGGGTGGTCGAGACAGGGGTGTGCGACGAACTTGCCTCTGGGCTGGAATTTGAGACACCTCAGAACTCGGCGTGGGGAGGGCAGCGGGACGATGAGTTTCTGGTGGAGCGGTTTGTGTTCCACTGGCCGGAGCCCGCGTGTCATAGCAACGGGGAGGGCAAGCGGTTTGTGAGCCCCAAGATGTGCCTGGGGGAGCAGGGTCACCGCAAGTTCATTCATTGCTGACCCTCAAAAGGTGAGTGAGCCCTGGCTTGTTACTCCGGTGGCTTGTTGTCTTTTGAAGCTGTTGCAGTGAGCCTGGGGTGTTGCTTACCATGCGTGTGAGCCCCAAGATGTGCCTGGGGGATCAGGGCCACCGCAAGCTCGTGGCTGACCCCGGGAAGGTGCGTCCTTTTCTCTTGGCAGTTCTGAAAGTGGAGTACAGGCAACTTTCAATGTCATTCAGTGTTTGCTACTCCAAACTCTACCCCTCATCACCCCTCCTACCGTGTGCCACATTCCCCTTCCGCCTTCACCGCCCCCCTTGCCCCTGCAGGTGGAGCGCATGGGGGTGTTTGGGCCGCACAGTGACGATGCGCCCACCCTCTCTCGGCTAAATCTCAGCACGGACGACCTGCTGCTGCTGCACTACCGCGAGCTCGGCTTCGTGAGCGACCTGCACGTGTGCAATGAGACGGTGCACGTGCGCGACAGCGTCGGGTGGTGGCACAACACCACCGTGTACCCGAGATCCGTGTGGCAACAGCAGCAGAAGGTCCGCTGCAACTTCACGCTCAGCGGGGTGAGTGCATAACGAGGAGGTGTATGTGTGATGGCGGACGGTAGTATTGTGCATTCGTTCTTTTTGTTAATGTGCAGGTACGTATGCTCGTTTACTCTAGGTTGTTGTCATACGTATGTGCTTAAATCTGCACTGTCCCTTGCAACCAGCAACCTTTTGGAGTTTCTCCCTCTAGCCCTCTTGAACCCGCTCTCTTGGCTCTTGCTAACTTCTCTTCCTGTCGTATCATTTGTCTGTCAATGGCTCTTTTTTCAGTGTGAAGACCCCACTTTTGAAGCCTTTTCACGTGCTTAGCCTGGCTTCCTTGAAAGATGAACATCAAATGAAACGCGAAATGAAAGCACATCACAAAAGTTGAGAGAATAGCAGATTCGCATTAGCTATACTAGAACGGTAGTGCAAGGAATCTACTTGCCCTTACTTGTCTCACCCTGCATACTGCGTACAACTTGTACGCACCACCTCACCTCACAATTTTGTTCCATAACCATTCCGAGAAATTTGCCACTGTTCATGCACCTTCACACGCACGCGATACGCCTCGAGACGTACAGGTAATGTGGTCCTTTAGTAAAGGTTATGTTCATAAGATAACACCCATTTTGTTACGGGGTACTTTACTGTTGAAGGGTGGTTTACCCTAAACAGTCCCCCAACCCAATCCCAACCTTATCTCCATCCAATCCCTTTGCGATTTCCTTGATTTCCTTGTGCCACGTGGCACTCTAGCTTTCTTGCATTCTACTTTGTAGTCCCACGAACTACTTTCCGACATTCGCTCTTGCATGCTATATCAACCTTGCTTGTACTTGCCATTATCAACCAATTCTCATTCAACCATTACTCAGTTACTTCTTCGCCTATTTTCCTAATACTTCATTCGCCAAAGTCTTCCGCGGCATTTCATCATCGACTTAGTCGACTCCGCTATTCTTTAGCGGATACAGGCCGAGGGGCCTAACACTTGGTATCAGAGCCTTCGCGGGGAGCGACTTCCAACGAGCGATCGTCGACGATGAGACTACGACGTCATCGTCCCACGGTGCCGACTTGCAGACTTGGAGTCGTCGAGCCGACATGGATGAAACCATGAACGCTGTCCCCAACGACATGGGCAACACGCTTGCTCAACTCATGCGCCAACTTGAAACGTTGACGCTGGAAAATCGTCAGGTACGGGCTGAAATGCAACAGCTTTATTCGCGTTTATTCCCCAGGGTCATGCCGCACCAACTCTTGCACCCAACACGTCGACTGGCGCAGAAGCGCTGCCGAAACGTCAAAGCGTGCTCAAGCCGCAGAAGCCCGAGCCGTTCGACCCAAGTCAACGCGACGCGAACCTGCGGACGTGGATCTTCATGCTCAACAATTACTTTTCCGCGAGCGGGTTGCAAGTGGCGGACGCGCAGCAGCGGGTCGAGTAATCCGTTACGCTGCTGAGGGGCCCGGCCTTGGAATGGTGGCGCCAACTCACGCAGACTGCTATTAGAAGGGCTCAGTTAGACGGGCAACAACAGGGCGAGGGGCACGCAGCTGCAACTTCGAGCTTAGGGAGTTTAGCTTTGGGTGTTACCACGGTTCCGACGACATGGGAAGGATTTGAAGCGGCGCTGAAAAGTAGGTTCGACTTGGTGAATGCCTCCGAGGCTGCTAGGAAGCGTCTGCGTCATTTCCGACAGATAGGAAACGTCCAGGAGTACACACGACAGTTCTTGAGCACCTGCAATGAGATAGACGACATCACGGAAGCAGATATGCGCGATCGCTACCTCGAAGGGCTAAAGTCGGACATAGCAGAGATTATTGCGATTCACTGATTGTCCACCTTCGAGTCGGTAGTCGCAGCATCAGAACGCGTCGACGCAGTACGAAGCCGACAAACCGATCAACGACGCTCGATCGAGGAACGGACCGTCGCGGCGAGTTCCGGGAGCTGCCATAGTGGAGCGATGGGGGCACATCATTCACAGCTATCATCAATGCTGTTTGTGTGCGACAGTTGGTGAAGCGAGCAGCGCGAATCTTTGCAGTCTTCCTTGAGGAGGTGGAAGCTGAGGAGGGGAAAGGAGGGAGCGCAGCAGTTGGCGAGAAGGCGGAGTTTAGAGACGTTTTCCCTGACGAGTTGCCCCAAGGGTTGCCTCCGAGCCGAGAAGTTGACCATCAAATAGAGTTGGAGCCGGGAAGCAGGCCAGTAGCGAAGCCGCAGTGGAGGTTGAGTCCAACAAAGACAGAGGAGATGACGCAGCAGGTTAAGCACTTCTTAGCGCCGGGGTTCATTCAGCCATCTAGATCGCCTTGGGCAGCACCGATCCTTTTCGCACCTAAGAAAGACGGGCGGTTACGGATGTGCATAGATTACCGCGCACTGAACGCCGCCACCGTCAAGAACAGATTTCCAGTGCCCAGAGTAGCGGATCTTCTCGATGCAGTGCAGGAAGCTAGATTTTTCTCAAAGATCAACCTTCGCTCAGGTTACCACCAAATTCGTGTAGTGCCAGAGGACCAGCACAAAACGGTGCTTCGTACGAAGCAGGCGTTGTACGAGTTTAGGGTTCTACCGTTTGGTTTGACCAACGCCCCAGCGACGTTTCAGATGCTCATGAATACCGTTCTCTCCGAGTTCCTAGGGTCGTTCGTCGTAGTTTACCTAGACGACATCCTCATCTTCTCGAAAACGAAAGAGGAGCACGTGTAGCACTTGCAAAAGGTCTTCGAGGTCTAACAGAGGGAGCAGTTGTATGCCAAGCAGTCGAAGTGCGAGTTCTTCCTCCCCGAGGTCGAGTTTCTCGGTCACGTCGTATCTGCTAGTGGCATTAGGACCGACCCAAAGAAGATCGCAGCAGTACAGGATTGGTAGCACCGACCTCAGTCAAGGAACTGCAAAGCTTCCTCGGATTCGCCAATTATTACCATCGTTTCGTTCAGGGTTACGCTTCCATCGCTAGTCCACTCGCCGATCTACTTCGGAAGGGCGTAGAGTACGTTTGGGGTCAAGCGTAGCAGCAGGCGTTCGAGTAGATGAAGCAGTCGCTCACGTCTTCGCCGACACTTTCGTACCCTGATCCCACTTGCCCATACGTTGTAGTGACCGACGCATCAGACCAGGCCATTGGAGCGGTGCTTCTTCAGGACCAGGGCCGCGGTTTGCAGCCAATTGCGTACGAGTCGCGTAAGCTTAGGGGAGCGGAGTTGAACTATCCGATTCACGACAAGGAGGCGCTCGCGATCATCAATGCGTATAAGGTGTGGAGGTGCTACCTAGAGGGGGCAGATAGTGTTATACGTACGGACCACTGTTCGCTTCGTTTCCTCAAGTCGCAGCCGCAGCTGAGTCGTCGCCAGGCTAGATGGATGAAGTTCATGGAGGGGAGTTTCCACTACAGGATAGAGTACAAGCCAGGCGTGCGCAACCCAACAGATCCGCTCACTCGCCCTAGTTGCCAACTCGCTAGTCTCATAGTCACTACCGGCCATCCACTTCTCACGGCACTCTTTGATCACGGATACACTGTAGAACCCGATTTCATACCGCAGCCGCCCGCAGGAGCAGAGGTGCAGGGTAGTGTCTACATACGGAAGGGTACCACACGGATTTGGGTTCCAGCCCACCGCCCTCTTCGTCAGCTCCTTCTTTCCGAGGCGCACGATGTAGTTAATGCAGGTCACTTTGGAGCAGATAAGACGGCTAAGACGCTTAGTCGCACGTACTTCTTGCCAGGGCTTGCCGCAGACGTAGAGGATTACATTCGCTCGTGCGACACGTGTCAGCGTACGAAATCCTCTCGACAGCGTAAAGCAAGAATTTTGTAGCCGATTCCACCGCCCGACCGCCATTGGCAGGTAGTTACCATGGATTTCATCATGGCTTTGCCGCGCACAGTTAGGGGTCACGATGCCATCTTCGTGGTGGTGGATAAGTTCTCTCGAGCAGCGCACTTCACCCCCACGCAAGGAAAGGTCACAGCAGAGGAAGCCGCGACGATGTTCGTAGATAACGTAGTCCGACTGCACGGGGTTCCAGATTCTATCATCTCAGACCGCGACCCTCGTTTCATTTCGAAGTTCTGGAAGCAACTTTTCGCACTGTTTGGGACTCGCTTAGCCATGTCGTCGGCGTACCATCCAGAGACAGACGGACAGACTGAGCGCGTGAACCAGACGTTGGAGCAGATTCTTCGCAGCATCACGATGCACGACGCAGCCGCATGGGACAAGAAGCTGAGCATGGCCGAGTTTGCCTACAACAACACGCACCACTCGTCCACAGGCATGTCACCGTTCTTCGCACTGTATGTTCAGCACCACAATGTCCCCACTCGTGTCAATCTCACGCCCACACTCCCTCGTGCGGACAACTTCCACCTGCATCTCACTTTCATTCATGATCACGTGAGGAAGCACCTTGAGCTCGCAAATGCACGCATGGCACGCACCACCAACCGCAGTCGTCGTGAGGTGTCGTTTTCAGTTGGCGACCGTGTCCTTTTGGATAGCCATAACCTCCGACTGCCACAGGACAGCAAGCTCCGCTCACGTTTCATTGGCCCATTTGTCATTGAGCGCCCACTTGGTCCAGTCGCATACCGCCTTCGCCTTTCCGCTCATTTCCGCATGCATCCGACATTCCACGTGTCTCTTCTTCGTCCTTACACCGATCCCAATGCCACCTTCTCGGGCCGTGACCGCACTCCACTGCCGGTAGCTGTTGACACTGACGAGCCCGCCTACCAGATCCAACGTATCCTCAGGCACCGTCGCCGTCTCCAGGGAGGTGTCTCTTTCATCGACTTCTTGGTTCGTTGGCGTGGTTACGATGCAGCCGACGACAGCTGGGTTTCTTCGTCCACCCTGTCTCTCGACAACGCTTGCCTCCAAGCGTACCTTTCGGTCTGCAGGCGCCGCGGACGTCGCCTCCTTGGGAGGCGGGTAGTGTTACGGGGTACTTTACTTTTGAAGGGTGGTTTACCCTAAACATTCCCCCAACCGAATTCCAACCTTATCTCCATCCAATCTCATAAGGATCGCCTTGATTTCCTTGTGCCACGTGGCACTCTAGCTTTCTTGCATTCTACTTCGTAGTCCCACAAACTACTTTCCGACATTAGCTCTTGCATGCTATATCAACCTTGCTTGTACTTGCCATTAGCAACCAATTCTTATTCAACCATTACTCTGTTACTTCTTCGTCTATTTCGCTAAAACTTCTTTCGCCAAAGTCTTCCGCCGCGTTTTATTATCGACTTATTAGTCGACTCCGCTATTGTCTAGCGGATACAGGCCGAGGGGCCTAACACTTGGTATCAGAGCCTTCGCGGGGAGCGACTTCCAACGAACGATCGTCGACGATGAGACTACGACGTCATCGTCCCGCGGTGCCGACTTGCAGACTTGGAGTCGTCGAGCCGACATGGATGAAACCATGAATGCTGTCCCCAACGACATGGGCAACACGCTTGCTCAACTCATGCGCCAACTTGAAACGTTGACGCTGGAAAATCGTTAGGTACGGGCTGAAATGCAACAGCTTCGTGAATTCGCGTCTATTCTCCAGGGTCATGCCGCACCAACTCTTGCACCCAACACGTCGACTGGCGCAGAAGCGCTGCCGAAACGTCAAAGCGTGCTCAAGCCGCAGAAGCCCGAGCCGTTCGACCCAAGTCAACGCGACGCGAACCTGCGGACGTGGATCTTCATGCTCAACAATTACTTTTCCGCGAGCGGGTTGCAAGTGGCGGACGCGCAGCAGCGGGTCGAGTACTCCGTTACGCTGCTGAGGGGCCCGGCCTTGGAATGGTGGCGCCAACTCACGCAGACTGCTATTAGAAGGGCTCAGTTAGACGGGCAACAACAGGGCGAGGGGCACGCAGCTGCAACTTCGAGCTTAGGGAGTTTAGCTTTGGGTGTTACCACGGTTCCGACGACATGGGAAGGATTTGAAGCGGCGCTGAAAAGTAGGTTCGACTTGGTGAATGCCTCCGAGGCTGCTAGGAAGCGTCTGCGTCATTTCCGACAGATAGGAAACGTCCAGGAGTACACACGACGGTTCTTGAGCACCTGCAATGAGATAGACGACATCACGGAAGCAGATATGCGCGATCGCTACCTCGAAGGGCTAAAGTCGGACATAGCAGAGATTATTGCGATTCACTGATTGTCCACCTTCGAGTCGGTAGTCGCAGCATCAGAACGCGTCGACGCAGTACGAAGCCGACAAACCGATCAACGACGCTCGATCGAGGAACGGACCGTCGCGGCGAGTTCCGGGAGCTGCCATAGTGGAGCGATGGGGGCACATCATTCACAGCTATCATCAATGCTGTTTGTGTGCGACAGTTGGTGAAGCGAGCAGCGCGAATCTTTGCAGTCTTCCTTGAGGAGGTGGAAGCTGAGGAGGGGAAAGGAGGGAGCGCAGCAGTTGGCGAGAAGGCGGAGTTTAGAGACGTTTTCCCTGACGAGTTGCCCCAAGGGTTGCCTCCGAGCCGAGAAGTTGACCATCAAATAGAGTTGGAGCCGGGAAGCAGGCCAGTAGCGAAGCCGCAGTGGAGGTTGAGTCCAACAAAGACAGAGGAGATGACGCAGCAGGTTAAGCACTTCTTAGCGCCGGGGTTCATTCAGCCATCTAGATCGCCTTGGGCAGCACCGATCCTTTTCGCACCTAAGAAAGACGGGCGGTTACGGATGTGCATAGATTACCGCGCACTGAACGCCGCCACCATCAAGAACAGATTTCCAGTGCCCAGAGTAGCGGATCTTCTCGATGCAGTGCAGGAAGCTAGATTTTTCTCAAAGATCAACCTTCGCTCAGGTTACCACCAAATTCGTGTAGTGCCAGAGGACCAGCACAAAACGGTGCTTCGTACGAAGCAGGCGTTGTACGAGTTTAGGGTTCTACCGTTTGGTTTGACCAACGCCCCAGCGACGTTTCAGATGCTCATGAATACCGTTCTCTCCGAGTTCCTAGGGTCGTTCGTCGTAGTTTACCTAGACGACATCCTCATCTTCTCGAAAACGAAAGAGGAGCACGTGTAGCACTTGCAAAAGGTCTTCGAGGTCTAACAGAGGGAGCAGTTGTATGCCAAGCAGTCGAAGTGCGAGTTCTTCCTCCCCGAGGTCGAGTTTCTCGGTCACGTCGTATCTGCTAGTGGCATTAGGACCGACCCAAAGAAGATCGCAGCAGTACAGGATTGGTAGCACCGACCTCAGTCAAGGAACTGCAAAGCTTCCTCGGATTCGCCAATTATTACCGTCGTTTCGTTCAGGGTTACGCTTCCATCGCTAGTCCACTCGCCGATCTACTTCGGAAGGGCGTAGAGTACGTTTGGGGTCAAGCGTAGCAGCAGGCGTTCGAGTAGATGAAGCAGTCGCTCACGTCTTCGCCGACACTTTCGTACCCTGATCCCACTTGCCCATACGTTGTAGTGACCGACGCATCAGACCAGGCCATTGGAGCGGTGCTTCTTCAGGACCAGGGCCGCGGTTTGCAGCCGATTGCGTACGAGTCGCGTAAGCTTAGGGGAGCGGAGTTGAACTATCCGATTCACGACAAGGAGGCGCTCGCGATCATCAATGCGTATAAGGTGTGGAGGTGCTACCTAGAGGGGGCAGATAGTGTTATACGTACGGACCACTGTTCGCTTCGTTTCCTCAAGTCGCAGCCGCAGCTGAGTCGTCGCCAGGCTAGATGGATGAAGTTCATGGAGGGGAGTTTCCACTACAGGATAGAGTACAAGCCAGGCGTGCGCAACCCAACAGATCCGCTCACTCGCCCTAGTTGCCAACTCGCTAGTCTCATAGTCACTACCGGCCATCCACTTCTCACAGCACTCTTTGATCACGGATACACTGTAGAACCCGATTTCATACCGCAGCCGCCCGCAGGAGCAGAGGTGCAGGGTAGTGTCTACATACGGAAGGGTACCACACGGATTTGGGTTCCAGCCCACCGCCCTCTTCGTCAGCTCCTTCTTTCCGAGGCGCACGATGTAGTTAATGCAGGTCACTTTGGAGCAGATAAGACGGCTAAGACTCTTAGTCGCACGTACTTCTTGCCAGGGCTTGCCACAGACGTAGAGGATTACATTCGCTCGTGCGACACGTGTCAGCGTACGAAATCCTCTCGACAGCGTAAAGCAAGAATTTTGTAGCCGATTCCACCGCCCGACCGCCATTGGCAGGTAGTTACCATGGATTTCATCATGGTTTTGCCGCGCACAGTTAGGGGTCACGACGCCATCTTCGTGGTGGTGGATAAGTTCTCTCGAGCAGCGCACTTCACCCCCACGCAAGGAAAGGTCACAGCAGAGGAAGCCGCGACGATGTTCGTAGATAACGTAGTCCGACTGCACGGGGTTCCAGATTCTATCATCTCAGACCGCGACCCTCGTTTCATTTCGAAGTTCTGGAAGCAGCTTTTCACACTGTTTGGGACTCGCTTAGCCATGTCGTCGGCGTACCATCCAGAGACAGACGGACAGACTGAGCGCGTGAACCAGACGTTGGAGCAGATTCTTCGCAGCATCACGATGCACGACGCAGCCGCATGGGACAAGAAGCTGAGCATGGCCGAGTTTGCCTACAACAACACGCACCACTCGTCCACAGGCATGTCACCGTTCTTCGCACTGTATGTTCAGCACCACAATGTCCCCACTCGTGTCAATCTCACGCCCACACTCCCTCGTGCGGACAACTTCCACCTGCATCTCACTTTCATTCATGATCACGTGAGGAAGCACCTTGAGCTCGCAAATGCACGCATGGCACGCACCACCAACCGCAGTCGTCGTGAGGTGTCGTTTTCAGTTGGCGACCGTGTCCTTTTGGATAGCCATAACCTCCGACTGCCACAGGACAGCAAGCTCCGCTCACGTTTCATTGGCCCATTTGTCATTGAGCGCCCACTTGGTCCAGTCGCATACCGCCTTCGCCTTTCCGCTCATTTCCGCATGCATCCGACATTCCACGTGTCTCTTCTTCGTCCTTACACCGATCCCAATGCCACCTTCTCGGGCCGTGACCGCACTCCACTGCCGGTAGCTGTTGACACTGACGAGCCCGCCTACCAGATCCAACGTATCCTCAGGCACCGTCGCCGTCTCCAGGGAGGTGTCTCTTTCATCGACTTCTTGGTTCGTTGGCGTGGTTACGATGCAGCCGACGACAGCTGGGTTTCTTCGTCCACCCTGTCTCTCGACAACGCTTGCCTCCAAGCGTACCTTTCGGTCTGCAGGCGCCGCGGACGTCGCCTCCTTGGGAGGCGGGTACTGTTACGGGGTAATTTACTGTACTTTTGAAGGGTGGTTTTCCCTAAACATTCCCCCAACCGAATTCCAACCTTATCTCCATCCAATCCCATAAGGATTGCCTTGATTTCCTTGTGCCACGTGGCACTCTAGCTTTCTTGCATTCTACTTCGTAGTCCCACAAACTACTTTCCGACATTCGCTCTTGCATGCTATATCAACCTTGCTTGTACTTGCCATTATCAACAAATTCTTTCAACCATTACTCTGTTACTTCTTCGTCTATTTCGCTAAAACTTCTTTCGCCAAAGTCTTCCACCGCGTTTTATTATCGACTTAGTCGACTCCGCTATTGTTTAGCGGATACAGGCCGAGGGGCCTAACACATTTTACCTTTTACCGTATCTGGGCGGCTGATGACTGAAGGACTGTACCAAATCAATACAACAATCCCCTTTCATTGACATCAGCACACTTCTAGCCAATCAGGTCACGTAACTCACGAATGCGTAATTTGGAACAGCACTTTAGCACTACAGTAATTTCTGCAAATGCAAAACTCTCTCACGCAACCCCAACTACCGCTAGACCTTATGGAGGGGCTTGACCACTCCAATGGGACAGGAGTCGGTGATCAATTAAAGAGGGTATCTGCACATCACAACAAGCACGCAACCACATCAATGCAAAACATGCAATACACTCCACACATTGTTAGCAGGCATCAAGCGCAAAATCTCTGCAAAACGATTCAGTGCTATATATAGTAATCGGAATAGCCAGTGATTAGACAGCCAAACAACGGCCACCCGTCCACCCACCCAGCCCCCCAACCAGACCACCCACGCACCAAAGAAGAGCTTGGTGTCGTTGGCGAGTGCCTCTATGAACCACTGAGCTCAAGGAAGAGTGCAGTGAGCAGTGCACCTTTGATTTTTGAGTCGACTCGAACAACAGAGCACCTACGCACGCACCTTATCACCAAAGAAGAGCTTGGTGTTGTTGGCGAGTGCCTCTATGGATTTGAGCTTCAGGAAGGGCGCAGTGAGCAGCGCACTGTTGGCCTCTGCCTCACGCATCACTCTGTACATGGGCAGGCAGTTGGACACACATGCACGTGCACACATGCACACAAGCACACGCAGACACGCAGACACACGCACACGCAGAGACGCAGACACGCACATGCACGCACGCATGCACGCACGCACGCACGCATGCGCATGCACACACACAGACACACGCACACGCAGACACGCAGACAGGTAGACACCCACACGCACGCACGCAGACACGCAGACACGCACGCACGCACGCACGCACACAAACACAGACACACACACGGCTGAATCCTCTCTCCTTGCACGAACCCCCACTTTTCTGTAGCATGTGAAGCTCAATAAAAATACCTCTTAGAAACAAAGAACACCTCGGGAAAAAAAAAAGACTTCTTTTTTTTTCTGTTGAAAGATACGAGTTCTTCCCACAGCGGGCTGGATTGGGCACGGCTGAACCAGGGGAGGAGCATGCCCACAAACACGGCACACAGGTAGCACGCCAGCAAGCACAGCACCCAGGAAACCAACCAGCACCTGTAGTGATGCGCATCGGCAAGAGCCTTCTCGTGCGCCAAAAACACCTCGTCGTTTATTTGCTGCTGCCGCTGCTGCGACTCCTTCTCCCGCACCCGCTGCTCCATCAGTACTCGGCTCACCTTGATGGGGGGAGAAATGGGGGAGCAAGGGGAGGGAGGTGCAAGGACGGGAAAGGAGGGAAAAGAGAGGGGTTGAGCACGATGTGACGACATGAGAGGAGGGAACACCAGGGAATGGGGATCGGCAGGTTGGGGAGGAGTGGGGTGAGGTGGACGCAGAATGGAGTGAGAGAGAGGAGGCACATGCATGGGAGAGCTCAAGTGGAATGGATGCACGCACACCAAACATTCCATCCCATCCCATCCCAGTCCATGATACGGGGAGCAAAGGTAGACAACGGTATCCCCCGTGCTCCCATCCCACCTGTGCAGCCATCTCAGCCTCGCTGACTGCCCTCTTTCTCCACCACCTTCTGTCGCTCAATCACTATCAGCACCTGCCAGGGGGGAGAAGGGAGCAGAGAGAAGGGGGGGGAAGAGGGAAGAAGGAGCGTGGGGTGGGGGGCATGAGCAGGCAAGCATGGTTTGGAAGAACATAGGGTAGAAGGAGGGGAAGTTTAGAGAGATAGTGAACAAGAGGGAGAGAATGAAGCAGAGTGGGAAATGAAGTATGTGGTGGAAGACAGAAGAGAGAGAAAAGAAGAGGGAAAAAGGTAGAGAGGAAGAGACAATGTGGACATGAAGGATGCACTTGCTTTTCCCATACTTACGCATGCCATCAAACACACATGCAAAAACCCTTCAGAACATGTCTGCTTGCTCGCCTTTGTACAAAAACATGCACAATCTCGCACAGACACAAACACACACACACACATACACACACACACACACACACACGCGCGCACACACACAAACCCACCCACACACACACACACACACGCAGACACACGCACACGCACACACACACACACATACACACACACACACGCACAGGCACACACACGCACACACACACACCCACACACCTACACATGCACACCCACACTCCCACACACCTACACATCTACACACACCCACCTTGGTCCTCTCCTCTTCCATCTGCTCGTAGTTGCGTGCGATGACGGGCGGGATCTTGGGCTTGGTGACGCGCACGCCAATGATCTCGATGCCTGGTGCATACTGCACCAGGTCCCGCATGATCGCCTCCTTCACCTTCTCGTCTATCTGATGCCAGTGGTGCATGGTGGGCAGTGGTGGAGAATGGTGGGGAGTGGTGGTGGAGTGGTGGTGCATGGTGGTGCATGGGTGAATGGTCGCATCACCCACACAGGAGCCATCGCACATTACGCACGGGGCAGAGTCAGGGGTAGAGCCATTTGTGGGTGTGATGGGTGCATGTGATGCACGGCAGATGACGACAGAGAGAGCCATGCACCCTCCAACACTCACTGTGTGCTCAACACAGAAGCTGCCTGTGCACCACCTGCCCACCTGGTCAGAGAGGCCCATGGCCTTCCCCACATCTGGCCACGTCTATACTATACCTGCATGCTCACCGCTTCTTCCCACCCCATGCATGCTCGCTGTGCTCCGCAGGGAAGTTCTACATTTCCCCTCCCCCTCCCAGCACATCTCCCCCAACACCACCCCCCCACCACATCCTTTCCACTCCATCCCCCCACCACACTCCCCCCACACCACATCACCCCCACACCACATCACCCCCACACCACATCACCCCCACACCACACCCCCCCAGACCACATCCCCCCCACACCGCATCCCCCCCACACCGCATCCCCACAAATAACACCAAACCCACCACCATATCCCCACCGGACCCCTCTCCTCCCATAAAGAGCAACCTGGTCGAAGAGGTCTGCTGCAGCGTGTGCGCGCTGGGAGGTGATTCAACTCGTGCACCCCGAAAGCCGCGCGCACTGCACCTGGTCGAAGAGGTCGATGTAGACCTGCTGCAGCGAGTGCGCACTGCAGAACTGGTTGATCTCGTGGTGAATCTTGTCGTAGATCCACGTCTTGTCGTAGTTCACCCCGTACTGCTTTATCGTCTCGTGCACGTAGTCGTGCCGAAGCCTGTTCACCACCTGCGAGAGGGGTGGGGGGGGGGGGGGGGAGGGGGGAGATGGGGGAGGGGAGGGGAAACAGGAAGCGGTGAGGAGTGAGTTGGAGGCGGGAGGGGGTGGAGTGGGATGGGAAGAGGGGCGAAAAGTGGGGAGAGAGGGTGGTACAGAGTGCAGAACACGAGAAATGGAACTGGGGGAGGAAAATGGGACTGGGGGAAGAAAACCATGGGTGAAGAAGGGGGGGGAGGGGAAGGGGGGGGTGGGTTGAAGACAGCAGTGCAGAGGCAAGCATGCATGGGAGAGGTGAGAAAGGCGCGGAGACTGTGGTGGGGTTGCCGAGAAGGGATGGTGGTGAAACCAAGGAGGAAGACGAGGACGGAAGGGACTGATGGCAGGCGAGAGGGAGGGAGGGAGGGAGGGAGGGAGGGAGGGAGGGAGGGAGGGAGGGAGGGAGGGAGGGAGGGAGGGAGGGAGGGAGGGAGGGAGGGAGGGAGGGAGGGAGGGAGGGAGGGAGGGAGGGAGGCAGGGAGGGAGGGAGGAAGGGAGGGAGGGAGGGAGGAAGAGAGGCCTGAAGGGTGTGAATGGCGTAAATTCCGTGAAGGGGCGGTGTACCTCGATCTTGTCAAAGTAGATCATGACGCCACCCTTGGTGCCGCATGGGATGTTGGTCACCTGCCAGTGGCACGAAATGATTCACCATCCATCCGTGTGGCAGGGCAATGGCACGATTCATGAGAGAACAGGGCACTGGGCAGCAGCAGCACGGACTATGATATGACATCATAGCACATGCGCGGAGCATCCGCTATAAGTTGTTCACATCACAGCAATGCACCAGCCGGCCAAGAGGAATCATAAGTTAGCTGCTTGACTGTTGATTCTCAAAAGCATCCTCCAGCAAGGAGAGTCACCTGGTCTGTCTGCAGTGTGACTTGGATGGGCTCGTATGTGGTGTTGAAGGGCAGCAGCAGGTGGTAGCCTGGTGGGCATGCAAGCGCACACACATGCAAGCACGCAGACATGCAAGCACGCAGACATGCAAGCACGCAGACATGAAAGCACGCAGACATGCAAGCGCACACACATGCAAGCACGCAGACATGCAAGCACGCAGACATGCAAGCACGCAGACATGCAAGCACGCAGACATGAAAGCACGCAGACATGCAAGCGCACACACATGCAAGCACGCAGACATGCAAGCACGCAGACATGCAAGCACGCAGACATGAAAGCACGCAGACATGAAAGCACGCAGACATGCAAGCGCACACACATGCAAGCACGCAGACATGCAAGCACGCAGACATGCAAGCACGCAGACATGCAAGCACGCAGACATGAAAGCACGCAGACATGCAAGCGCACACACATGCAAGCACGCAGACATGCAAGCACGCAGACATGCAAGCACGCAGACATGAAAGCACGCAGACATGCAAGCGCACACACATGCAAGCACGCAGACATGCAAGCACGCAGACATGCAAGCACGCAGACATGCAAGCACGCAGACATGAAAGCACGCAGACATGCAAGCGCACACACATGCAAGCACGCAGACATGCAAGCACGCAGACATGCAAGCACGCAGACATGCAAGCACGCAGACATGAAAGCACGCAGACATGCAAGCGCACACACATGCAAGCACGCAGACATGCAAGCACGCAGACATGCAAGCACGCAGACATGAAAGCACGCAGACATGCAAGCGCACACACATGCAAGCGCACACACATGCAAGCGCGCACACATGCAAGCACGCACACATGCAAGCGCACACACATGCAAGCACGCACACATGCAAGCGCACACACATGCAAGCGCACACACATGCAAGCACGCACACATGCAAGCACGCACACATGCAAGCGCACACACATGCAAGCACGCAGACATGCAAGCACGCAGACATGCAAGCACGCAGACATGAAAGCACGCAGACATGCAAGCGCACACACATGCAAGCACGCAGACATGCAAGCACGCAGACATGCAAGCACGCAGACATGAAAGCATGCAGACATGCAAGCGCACACACATGCAAGCGCACACACATGCAAGCGCGCACACATGCAAGCACGCACACATGCAAGCGCACACACATGCAAGCACGCACACATGCAAGCGCACACACATGCAAGCGCACACACATGCAAGCACGCACACATGCAAGCACGCACACATGCAAGCGCACACACATGCAAGCACGCACACATGCAAGCGCACACACATGCAAGCGCGCACACATGCAAGCGCACACACATGCAAGCGCGCACACATGCAAGCACGCACACATGCAAGCGCACACACATGCAAGCGCGCACACATGCAAGCACGCACACATGCAAGCGCACACACATGCAAGCACGCACACATGCAAGCACGCACACATGCAAGCACGCACACATGCAAGCGCGCACGCATGCAAGCACGCAGACATGCAAGCACGCAGACATGCAAGCACGCACACATGCAAGCGCACACACATGCAAGCACGCACACATGCAAGCACGCAGACATGCAAGCGCACACACATGCAAGCGCGCACACATGCAAGCACGCAGACATGCAAGCATGCACACATGCAAGCGCACACACATGCAAGCGCACACACATGCAAGCGCGCACACATGCAAGCACGCAGACATGCAAGCACGCAGACATGCAAGCGCACACACATGCAAGCGCACACACATGCAAGAGCGCACACATGCAAGCGCGCACAAACCCTCATACAGATGTAAGCACCGACACACACACACACACACACACACACACATACGCCCATGTGCGCGCGCACACACAGACACACACACATGTAAACAAGAAACACAAACGAGCTGTTTCTTGCGCAAGTAGATGGCAGAACGGCAGAGGACATAGTGAAGCAGAACCACAAAGCCATGTAAACATGGTGAACCAGAGAGCAATGCTGTTCATGTGCACACGAGCAACTCCTCCTGCTCGCCATCTCCTTGCATCCAAGGAGAGCCATGCGCCCCTACAAGTGCACAGCACACACATGTGCCATGCACCATGCCCTCCACACTCACTCCCCGCGGTCCACTCAACCCTTGCTAGATGAACCCCCTCCCGTGTCAAAATGAATTCAACCGATGGACGACTCGCCTGCATTCACCTACCCCCCTCTCCCATTCCACTCCCACCCCTCCTCCTGCCCGTCTCCCTGCCACTCCCCCTGCCCCTCCCCATGCCCCTCCCCATGCCCCTCCCTCTGCCCCTCTCCCTGCCACTCCCCCCCCCTCCCCCTGCCCCTCCCCCTGCAACTCCCCCCCCCCTCCCCCTCCCCCCCACGCCCACCTGGCTCGGTGACGTGTTTGAGCAGCGCACCCCCGCGCCAGTACACGCCCACGTGGCCCTCGGGGATCTGATGCACCACGCCCATGTGCGCGCCCGCTGCTGGCAGTACCACCTGCGCGCGCAGTTGCCACCGCCCGCGGGAGCGGCCGCGGGTGAGGAATGGGAGAGGCAGGGGGGAGGCAGGGGAGAGGAAGGAGAGAGGCAGGGGGGAGGCAGGGGGGAGGCAGGGGGGAGGCAAGGGAGAGGCAGGGTGGAGGCAGGGGGGAGACAAGGGAGAGGAAGGTGGGAGGCAGGGGGGAGGCAGGGGGGAGGCAGGGGGGAGGCAGGGGGGAGGCAGGGGGGAGGCAGGGGGGAGGCCGCAGGGGGGAGGCAGGGGAGAGGCAGGGGAGGAGCAGGGGGGAGGCAGGGGGGAGGCAGGGGAGAGGCAGGGGAGAAGCAGGGGAGGAGCAGGCGCGCGCGGAAAGCGGGCAGGAGACACCATGGCCGGGGATTGGAGCAAGGGAATCGTTTGAGAAATTAACAAACAAACAAGCAAGCAAGCGAAAAGGTGTTAGCGGCGGCAACTTGAGGTGGGCGGAGGGACGGGCGTGTAGGGCGGCGTGCGACCACATGCACTGCCTTGACAACTCTCATCGTCACCATCACCACCATATGTACTGCGTTGTAAGCGATTCTGTACAACTCTCAAAAGTAGAGCCCCTTTGAGCTCGTCGGCAAGGCCTAGGCCCCACGGTCGATCGGAATTTACTCTAAAAAAAATGTGGTTGCGTGTGTGTCTGTGCGCGCGTGTGTCGTACCGCGACCCAGTCGATTGGAAGGGCGCTAGAAATATACCCAGCATGACGCGAGACTCAACGACCCACGCCGTGCGACTGGGATGCGATCTACGTGCGAAACCGACGAGCGAAGAGTGCGACGATCGTGCGAGCGTGGCGACAACCCACCGCGATGACGGCGACGAGGGCCATCAAGGCGACCACAACAGCGGGCTCCGACGCGCCCGCCACTGGCGGCGCGTACTGCGCGCCGTGCTGCCCAGCGGGCCGCGCCGGGGGATGCGGTGCAGCTCTATCGCCGTCCATAATTGCGCCTCTAGACAACCGCGCTCCCTATCCCCGGCAGCAGATGTTGAACGCTGGGTTGTGCCGTTCAGCCACCCACCACGCTCGACTTGAGCAATCGTAAGGGTCTCTTGCTTGAAGCTGAGGCAAGGTCGCGAAGCAGATTCATTCCTTGTCGCTGGAAAATGGGATGCGAGGCCAAAAAACCGGGAAATTTGCGAATTGTCACAAACAAGGTTCTCGATACCACATTTAGAAGGAAAATATGCCAACAAGGGTCTTGATAATATGTTTGGTAAAAAAAAAACGGGTACGGTCACTGCAAAGTGTGTTTTCACGTATTTGATCAAACGTTTCACGGAATCAGTCACAATCAACTGGGAAAAAATAGCGCGAATGGTCACAGATGAAACTCCCGCCCAAAATAGATAATACCCAAAACGAACATGGATGCGTTTTCGGATGAATCAACCCTAAACACATCATGCCAGGTGTTTAGGGTTGATCCGTTCCCAAACCGCATCCGATTCCGATTAGGTTTTAGCTTTTTTAGAAGTTAGCTGACTGGTTGGTCGCGAGCGGGAATTTTGTGGAGTTTCAAGAGTTTTTGGCGGGAGTTACATGTGTGACCATTTGCGTGATTTTTCTCCTGTTGTTAGTGACTGAATATGTGACCCCACTTACCAAACCCGTCAGCAAACCCGATACAGTACGCGTTACATTTTTACCATTCACGTTATTGGGTCTCATGTTGGTTATTTGTGTCATATTTTCTCTTGAGAAAACAGAGCACGCTTACGGTCACTAAAGCGAGTGTTTTCAACCCTGAACACTCACGAGATGAAAAGCTGCCTCCTATACCTCTGATGGACATCTCAGTAAAATTTGTTTCTAGTTCAGCAGAGTCATTCTAAATTAAACTCAATGCGTGCACCAGCTTGCTCGTTAGGCACTACTGGACTATTACATTTTGAATTCCTCGCTAAGAGAGAGAAAACAAACAAGCAAGTCGATAAACCCTGAGCGTGCCTTTGCTACGTACTGCATGAGCTGCCTATCGTTGATTCGAACGGTGTCAGTGCAGGTTTGTATCTGACCGTTTCCCACTATAGGCTCTCGACATGGTATCATGTTAGGTCCGATCGCTTCCACTCCTCCTAATCGATTCTAGCGTAGTTCATACACCTTTCCTAGCATAGCCCAGCCCTTAGCCCACTCAAACTCGTCCCTAGTCGCCAAGGTCGCGCCCAGCCGCCCAGAGAGCCCCACTGCCCCATCGCCCAACACCGCTGTCTAGTCGCCTAACGTGCCCCGTTGCTCAATGTGCCCCGTCGCCCAGCGTTCCACGTCGCCCAGCGCGCCCCGTTGCTCACGCATCAGCAACGCGACCCTATTAGCCGTTACGCACCACCACACGTTAGTGCGAGCAGCAAGAGAAGCAAATTGCTGTCCATTAGCGCGAGGTGCAGTAGTAGAGTGCTGCATCTAGCAGCAGCTAGCGCCAGCAGCAGCTGCTAGCACCAGCGGCAGCGTCACTTCGTGCCAGCAACTGTAGCCAGCGCCAGTAGCAATGGTTAGCACCAACAACAACAGCTAGCCCCACCAGCTGCCGCCCTGCACTGCCACCCGTATTGCCACCCGAAGAGCAGCTTGTACTGCCGCCTGTCCGGCAGCCCGCACTACTACCTGCCGTACATGCCGTCCTAGCCGCTCGAGCTGCCCGTATTTACTGAGACGCCCTAGCCATCTTAGCTGCCTAAGCAAGCCACTACTGCCAGTGCTTAGCCGCTCCTGCCCGTTTTAACCACCGTTCCTTGCGCCTTTCTTACCCTCATTTCTCGATTCTCATCTCTGTTGCACTTTCGCCTGTAGCTGCGGTGTTACTCCCTATGGCTTCCTCCACACCTTACGTGTTTGTTTACTCTTCAATGAGGAGGGTTGGGTGGTCGATTTTGACATGTGGATGAGTGACGTCCAGCTTTACGTGCAGAGCTCATTCCAGGATGACGCGTACTTGTCAGAGCTCTCGGTATCAGGGTAAACATCATGAATCTCAGGTACATTCCGTATGTTTTGTCGGTAAATCCTGATTCATCAGAGTTGGTCTAGAAATCATCAGGACCATTTTCGGATGATTTGACCGAGCCTTCGGAAACTTCAGTTGTTCCGAAAACAATCCTGAGATTTCAACAGAGTACTAGTTTTTGTATAGGGTATTGACTTGTAAAGATGCCCATAAGTGACCTCATACATGATGTGAGTAATAGAATATTTATTCCTTGCCCATCAGACCTGGACGTTTCAAAACTTCTTGTCAGAATCCCAACTAGTAGACCATTGGGATAAAAGGGCTTGTTTGTGTAGCGAGTTTGTGCGCCCATAACCCCCCAGGCGAACGCGCCTGTAACCTCTCCTAGGATCAATTGGGCATCCACAGTGTAGATCTACTGACACCTCCCCACACTGGGATTCCTCCAGCACAGCGGCAACGGCCTACATGTGCATACACCAGGATTCGAACCCGAGACCGCTCTGATACCATGTCAGAATCCCAGCCACTAAACCATTAGGATAAAAGGTCTTGTTTGTGCAGCGGGCGGCGGAGCGAAAAATAGGCGCCGCGGCTCAGTGCCTCCAGCACTAGTACGGCCAGCTCCAGCGCGCCCAGCACCTCCAGCACCAGCAGCACCACCAGCTCCAGCAGCTCCAGTACCTCCAGTACGAGCACCTTCGGGACCAGCAGCTCCGGCACCTCCAGCACCTCCAACACCTGCAGCACCACCAGGACCAGCAGCTCCAGTACCTGCAGTACCTCCAGCACAAGCACCTCCGGGACTAGCAGCTCCAGCACCTCCAGTACCTCCAGTAGTAGCAGCACCACCAGCTCCGGCCGCTCCAGTGCCTCCAGTACGAGCACCTACGGGACCAGCAGCTCCAGCACCTCCAGTACCTCCAGTAGCAGTAGCAACACCAGCTCCGGCAGCTCCAGTGCCTCCAGTACGAGCACCTCCGGAACCAGTAGCTCCAACACCTTCAGCAGCAGCAGCACCACCAGCTCCAGCAGCTCCAGAAACTCCACTACCTCCAGCACCTCTAGCACTCGCAGCACCACCAGCTCCGGCACCACCAGCGCCACCAGTACAAGCACCCCCGGGACCAGCAGTGCCAGCACCACCAGCACTAGCAGCTCCAGGGCCTCCAGCTCTAGCAGCGCCAATCGGAAGGCTACAGCGCCGAGCGTACCACTCGCGCAACTGCTGTAGTGAGAGAGTCTCCCGTAGTGTAGACGCAGGACCCCTAGGCTTAGCACCCCCAGACTCAGCACCCCCAGGCTCCGCACGCTCAGGCTCAGCACCCCCAGGCTCCGCACGCTCAGACGCAGCACCCCCAGGCTCTGCACGCTCAGGCTCAGCACCTCCAGGCTCTGCACACTCAGGCTCCGCAACCGCAGGCTCAGCACCCCCAGACGCAGCACCCTCAGCAGCGCCAGAGTCACCAGTGACCTTGACAGGCTCAACCAAGGGGAGTGGGTCTACCTGAGACACAGCTGAAGGAGCAGGACCTTGAGGGGGGAGGGGGTCTACCGGAGGGGGACCTGGAGCGAGGAAGAGCGGCGGGGGGGGGAGAGGGGCAGTGCGGTAGGGGAAGAGACGGTAAAAGGGAACGGACTCATCGAACTTGACGTCCTGAGAGGGTAGGACACGGCGCGAGGTGGGGTGGTAAAACTGCCAGCCATGCGCGTCAGGGGGAAAGCCAAGGAAGACGCAGGGGAACGACGCGCGAGGAGAGCTTGTCCACGGAGGTATCGCGGACAAACGCACGACGGCCCCAGACTCGGAACACCGACGCATCGCCAACCTCTCCCGTCCAACGCAGTGTAGGCGAGGTCTCCGGCAAGGAGACACGGGGCCAGAAGTTGAGCTGATGCGCAGTGTACCGGACCGCAAACGGCCACAGAAAATGGGGAGCAACTGCATGGATCATGGAGGTACGAGCGACCTTCATGACTAAGCCAATGCGGCGCTCAGCAACCCCATTCTGCCGCGGAGAGGCCGGAAGCATGAACGACTGGAGGATGCCCTCCCCACGACAAAAGTCCCGCAATAGGTCGGAGGAGAACTCACCACCTCTGAGAGAGTGAGATGCAGGACAGGAAGGTTTGTGTCGAACCGCTCGCGGAGCTGGAGACGGACAGCGCGGATCCTAGGGATAAAAAAATCATAGGCCTCCCCCTTGCTGCGCAAGGGGAAGACCGTGGTGTAACGCTAGTGGTCGTCAACAACCAGCAAAAAGCATCGCTCGCGGCCCTGTCCCTGGACGCGGGCTGGGCCTTACACGTCCATGTGGAGAGTCTGCAGGGGAGCAGTCGTTGGGGGAAACGAGGAGTGAGGAGCGGCGCGCTGCCGCCCTCGACATAGGG